AGCCCTTTTTGTCAGAGATAAATTTCTCTTTTTACTTCTTTCAAGGTTCATTTGCATCCTGGCAAAGCAATAGGTAACTTTCGAGCAAATGCCCTCATTTTCCAACACTATAAGAGTTGATAATCAAATCATTCCTATTGAATTTATACGTTACGATCACCTCGTCATTTTCAAACCAGTGGTTTTTCTTCTTCTATACCATTTACTCATGTTTCCGCGCATTAATTTCTGCTTCTACAAACAACTTTTTTCATGAATCAAGTGCATCGGACGATTAGGCTAACATCCTGCCTAGTTTCGGATTTCATTTAACTTGAAATTCAATATTTTTTAGAATTTGCTTTGAGAGTTTCTCATAGTAAATAATTTTTTTCCGTTGAAAAATACTATGGACATTGTCCATTCTTTCTGAAAAGTTGAAATCTGCATTTTTGAAAAATAAGTATCAGCAAAAAATAAGTTTATCTTCGAAGAAAATTCTTCTAGAAACTGTACACGTGACACCGATATCATCGATCAGCTATTGAACGGCACAGGTTATAACAAATTTCGTATACCACGTAAGTTTCTGCTTTTAATCTTTGGTCAGAGTTAGATTCAGAAGATAATTCAGAAGACGAAGGTATGACTGTTTTTGTCGAGATTTGGATCCAAGCAATCACATCAATAGACGAGCTGACGAACGACTTTGACATGGATATTTATATCACGGAAAGGTGGCTGGATCCTGCGCTCAACTTCGAAAATCTTTCGCCTTGCAAAGGTAGCCACATCATTCTTCCTTTTGAACAATCAACATTTTCAGGTTTCTCACAGAAAAGAGTGAATAGCATTTGTTATTACCAAAACACTGTTAGAAGCTCACGACAAATACTGAACTAAATACTTTTCTCATACTAGATTTTCAGATAGCTTTAGAAGCAGCAGTCTTGATTTTGATACAGAAGAAATACATAGTTTTTTCTTCAAGATTCAATTTTGCGTTTAATGGATGTTGAACAAGAACCGTCATTTCCTAATACATCCTAGCTAGAGGTC